CAAGGATGTTCATAAATTCATCTGTTTCAGAATGTGATCCAAATTTTAATAAATCTATGTTAAAATCTCCAGAAATCATACAATATTTTCCCTCTCTATTGACTTTTTGTAAAACGGAATTAATGTACTGGTAGAACAAATTAAGATTTCCTTTAGGATGTCGATAAATAACTCCACACAGCAGGTTACGCTGAAGGTCATCCTGTACCTCAATCCATAATGCTTCAAAATATTTATCAGATATAGATAAATCCTCACGTTCAATATATTTCAAATTATCTTTTATAAAGAAACCAACACCACCTGCATTAGAATGACTTGGCTGAGATACAAAGTGATAACTTGGTATTTGTAAATTAGATATAGGATCATTATTTATCTGCTGCTTAGTCTCTGAAAGACCAATTAATGAGAATGGAAAGTATAATTCAGAAAGCATATTGACTAGACTGTCATGATTTGCAGATAGACTCCTAACATTGCAATGGATAGCTGAAAAAGAATCATAACTCTGAAAACTATCCACTATATTCTGATTACTATGAAATTCATGGGAGTCATAATAATTAAAATTAATGTCACTAGGCATATGCAAATCAATATCTGAGGTAGTTAAATGGTGAATATTTGTGGTTGCTGAATTTATATCTAGACGAGGTAATAGATTATAATCTACAAAATCTAGTATGTCTGAAGGACTAGTACTTTCGTTACAAGTACATTTGCTACAACTAGTCATCATTGGCAATAAAACATTTAGATCAATAGTCTATAGTACTTAGCTTATTTGATAGAGTCTTTCATTATTTGATTCGGTCCAAATCTTTCAAGCTTCTTATCCGAACAACCGGGCTAGTCTCTGCCTTTCTAATAAAGATATTTCCTGATGATGTCCAAATAAACTTGTATCCCTTTTCTCGTTTAGCCCCATATGCTTTATGAAACAGATCCTTGTTCTTTCCAGTAAGACTTTCCACAACAAAGACCTTGTTATCTGACTCATATCCAAGGACTTTGGCTGTTACATTGTCATTATATAGCTTTTTCCGCGCTTTGTAGAAATTTTCCTTGGTCACACGTCTGGTGAATTTGACAATGATCGGGGGTGGTTGGAGTTTATCTCCCCGATAGGACTCGCTTGTCTTAAGTCGATGGCTTATAGAGATATCCTTCTCCTCGATTTCAACACCCACGGTAGCAGCTACCTTCATCACAATTCTATCTGTATTTTCTTCACCTGATCGTAGCCCACGTTTCAATGGAACTCCTCTAATTTCCACGCAATCTCTTCTCGAATACTGTTCTAAGTCATTACATACATCTTTTAGATCATTTAACTCCTTCGTTGTCTGTTTCAGTTGCAAAGCAAGTGCTTGGTTTTCATTACAAAGATCCTTTTGCTTCGCTTCGTATGAAGTTAATTTCGTTTCCATTTCCTCATATTTTGTATTTATGAACTCTATTGATCGAACAATTTCGTTCATTTTCAAATTTTTCATCCAAAATGGATATCAATTGTTGTACTGTTACAGCCAACATATTACAAATGAGCAAAGCGAACACAAAGGTGACAAAGTAAACTTTAAACAAGAATATAAAAGTCATTGGCGAGAGCCCCAAAAAAGCACCGCCATCTTGTTTGACCTCGTGACTCCATACTCACCATAAGCACCACCATCTTGTTTGACTCGTGACTCCTCGTGACTCACCAGGTCCATCATACAATGCTGCAGCCTCTGGTGTGCAAACAATAAATAATGACCCTAATCCTATGCACGAAGTTGAAAGCACTCTCATCAAAAGTATTGAGAAAGAAGTAAAAGGTCTTCATCTGAATGTTCTCCCTTCAAAGTTTCGTCTGAAGATGTTAAAAAAGTTTCATTTTTGAAGCAAAAAGAAGAGATAATAGCAAACGCCTCGTTACTGTGGAAGCTTTTGAAAGCAGCAGCAGTAAACAGGAGAGCTCAAAATCAGAATACAGTTAAGGTTACAGGACACCTTTTTTGGCGTTTTGCGGAAAATCGCTACTGCGCGCTCAATATCAGTCCGATTTTCATCAAATTTTCACCAAATGTTCTCCAGTGCATGCAAAATATGGTAAAGTTGTAAAATTAACAAACAATAAAATAATGTAAAAATTATTCAGGAAAATCTTAAATCGCGGTACCGTTACGCTTTTGAGTTATGTTCCTGCTGGTTTTAAGTTATATTTATGAAAATATCATTTTTATACAGTAAAATAGTTGTTCTAAAAAATTGTGTTCGGAAATTTTTGTTTATTTCGTCATTCCGCTGATATAGCGATTTCTTTGACGACTGCAATATATTTCTGAATTGTTTGAGTGAATTGCTCTTTATTTTTAAAATATCCAAAATTAAAAAAAAGCCGAACACAATTTTGAAACTGACGTCTTTAGCTATGTCCTGTGAAAATTTGAGAAAAATTGGTTAAAACCCGCAGGAGCACAACTCGTTTGAAAATCAGTAATTACCGTAATATTTTTTGGGAGAAAATTGAATTTGAATATTACAATTTCAATGTTTTTCTTATTGCAGCGAAATGTATTTTAATTTAAATAACTCTGCGAGTTTTCAACATTTTTCGTTCAAACTTGGTCAGATAGTAGAACTAGTCTAATGCTTTCATGGAAACCAATAAAAAAATTTTAGGCAAAATTAACACTCATAGGTGTTCTGTAACCTTAAAACAGAGGAGTTCATAGAGCCAGCCATACTTACTGCAATAGGAATACTACTAAATTGTTACAGTACATGTATGAGCATGAATGCTACAATTAATTCTATTATACTCTGCAGAGGTGTAGAAGTGTTGACAAAATGACATTTAAACTTGTCTTACCCATCTGCATTAAAACTTCAAAGTGAGCTTGGAAAAGAAAATTTAAGTGTTGTTAAAAAGTGGGCAGAAACATCAGTCATTAAAACCGTATCCCCAAAAGGTGTCATTCCAATAACTCCGGAAAAAGTAGTAACTGAAGCTGAAATCATTAAACATTCCTGTGTTCATTCTGATCCTTCCAGAAATGTTCATGGCACTACTGCTGAATTAGTACCAAATACTGAAATCTGTGAAGCATCTCCAGGGTGTTAGTTACAGTCAAAAGAAAAGTTACAGAAAAATGTTTTACCTGAAAAGCATCCCAGTTTTGTCAAGACAGTTAAGTACTGTTTAATAAAATAAAACACGACCTGCGAGTTTTTTTAAATGGCTTCAAAAACGTTTGCATAATAAGTCAAATCTGAATATTGATTGTAAACAATATAGTGTGGTACAGCATGTAATCACGTAGGACTTGCATGCTAAACGTTATTTTTTTACTGTTTTGAATTTATTTGAGGACCAACTATGGGAAAATTATGGGGTTCAAATTTGAACAGGCTGCGAGGGAGACTAACCTCCTAACCTCCCTGCTGTGTGTCCAATTTAGTCCACCCCCCTGAAGTGCTTCTGCATTCGTTTTTCCGTTAATAAGTAACCTATTTTCACGATCCTAGTGTCATTCTGGGGGGTTTCAAGAACACTGAGTGCATTTATGATACTTTCCAACAGATCTGGCTTGGTTATCATCGACTTTCAGTAATGATCGATATTAAATCTCTTGTTATTATCACTGTTGGTTGTAGTATATAGAATATATACTACATTTTGCAAGGGATTTTAGGCATGCCAAAACAATTAGTGCAGTGATTTTTTATAGTAATAGTTTTGTCATAAGATAAGCTCTTTGTATTAGATATTTCATGTACGAATAGCTCCATTTTTCGTAAAATGATACTGAGGGATCCGTTTTAGTTGGTAATTTCCAAGATGGCTGCCACCCTCTGAGAGAAACGGTGAGTGCCCTTTAGTTTTATTTTCAACTTCATGAATCGTAAACAAACGTTTAATATATGCAAAAATATACTTTAATGATCCCTGAGTTAATTATTAAAGTATTTCATCATGACCTAAGAAGGTATTTGTCAAATTATTGATGAATATATTTGCATGAATAATGAATATAAAAAGTAAAGACAACATTATACTATGCACTATTATTTATGAGTTCCTATGCTACTTTTCAAACTGCATTATCATTTCTAAAGAAACATGGAATAAATGTAAACTAAAATTGTAAAAAATTGTATTTTTTTATCTTAGTTAAAAAAAACTTCAAAAAAGAACTCCCGATGGCCGAAAACTGTTTCAATACTGTTCTTTCCAGAAACAATGTAATAATGTAAGTTTTTAATCATACCATTTTTAATTGAAAAGCAACAATCTTTTCCAATAAGTAACTTCTCATAATTAAACAGAATAATTAAAGACAGGCTGAACTACAAAATATCTCAGCAGCCAATAGCAGGTAATCAAGATATTGATACATAATAACAATATTTTTGTAATATATATAATTTTGTGCTGTTTCATTTCTAAGATGTGACGAAGAGTAACAAAGTGTTGAGCAGCCATGTCTAAGACGGACAGCGTGTGTATAATTTGTAATGAAAGGGCTACCTCAAGCAAAAGACTTGTAAATAATCCTAACATGATTGAAGATCTTTATCATTGTTGTAATGAGCGACTACGACGACTGTCCCTGGGTCAAACTGATGTCAAACCACTTATTGATCCTTTAGCTAGCTTGAATGAATTGGAACGTAAAGCTGCATGTTACCATAGTGAATGTCGGAAGCCAATTGTCAATAAGAGTGTTTAGAAAGGCTCAGAAGTAAGAGAGTCTGGCCCAGTGATGCCATATCATATTCCGTTCAAGGACCTGGGTGTCCTTCCAATGCAGCTACCTGTTCTCGGCCTAAATTAACAAAAACCATCCCCAAGGCAGAGGTGTGTCTGTTCTCGGCCTGTAGCTTTTGTCCTAATGACACTTTAGAAGCCCTCCACCGCGTCTCTTCAGACAAAATGGGTCAAAACTTCTTAGAGATTAAGTCAAAAACTGAGGATGACCAAGTCAGAATTTGCGTGTCAGAGCTAGAGGATGCCAGCGGGCGATGCCTCTGCACTTGAAAAATACTATCACAGGAAATGTTTATGGAATGCTCAGCGCACTTTCAAGCCAATAGAAATGTGTTCTGTTAACCAGCTCATACATTCTGCTTGTGAAGAACAATTGCTCTTATCCGTTCAAAACTCTCTCACCGATGATGATGCAATTCTAAGTATGGCCGAGGTTAACAGTACATACGTATCAATTTTGAATAGGTATCGTGTACAGATTTCTGAGACTGCAAACTACCGCAAGCATCTAAAAAAGCTACTTAGTGAATGCCTTCCAAGTGTACAGTTTGTTAAATCCCTGCGTGAGAATGAGCCAGATAGGATCGTTCTTCCAAGAGCAGTTAGCAAAGGAATAGAACTTCGGTGCTCGCTAATGGATAACAGTGAAACGATTGGTCGCTTGAAGAACATAGACATTCTACGTAAACCCAGAAATTGGTCGTTCAACGGCAGTTTTGAAGAATTCCAGAACCCTCCACTCCTTCAGTTTTTTCTCAGTCATCTCCTCTTTGGTCACCATGTTCTCAAAGCTTCAGGAATTCGCAGTGAAGAGGTGGATAGAACTGTTGATGTTGCTTGCCAGTTTCTTATCCAGAATTCTCGAAGCGATCGCCAGGTGAAACATCAGCCAAAGAAAAACTCCGGTTTTCTGCAGACTGTTCAGACACCCCTCTCGATTGATCTGCCTCTTGTCATTCATTCTAGGTGGAGACTGGTGGATTTTGTCTGCCTGATTTTGTCAAGAAAGGAGTAAACATGGTTCGCAGTAGATAACATTGATCTCTTAGAAGACACGCCAACTGGCCAGAATACATTCCACGGCACAGTGATCGTACTCAATCAGCAGGCAGAAGATGGAGAACCTGTCAACCCACCGCTTGTTCTCCCAGACAAGCTTCTCTCACCGGCACCAGTGTTTTACATCAATTATCTGCAAGAGCAAATCATCAAAACTAAGCCTTATCGATATGATGTCTGCTTGTTTGGTACCGAAATAATCTAATCTCTAATGACTTCCATCACACTTGGGCACTTGCTAACTATTTTGGTACTGATGACGACGACGATGAAACCCCGGAGAGCCGACATGTGGAGAATGAAGAGGGACAGGAGAATGAAGAGGAACAGCAGATAATTGAAGATCAAGAAGGTGAAGTCGATAGGGAAATGGCAAAAAATTTAAGTGACTCTATTCTCTCTCTGTGAATGAGCCAATCCGTTTTGGAATTTCTTTGTAAAATATAGTTTGTTGCTGAGTTCTTTCCACAAGACAGCCCAAGCCTTCTTCTACAAGTTCATTTAATCTGATCATCATTGTTTTTGCATCGAGTCCCTTACAATCACGATAAATTCTTTGCGGAATAATAAATTCACCAGGATGAAAAATCTTTTTAAAAAGTTGTGAATTGTCTGTTACATGCATATCATCTTTGCAAACCTAAGAAAGTGCACAAAGTACTTACTGAAGAGATTAACAGTATTTTAGCATTAGGACTGTGCATAAATTGCACTACAATGACATTTTTTAGTATAATTATGTATGGTTATTGGCGTAGTTATTAAGATCTGGACTGGAATCTCGACAGCAATAGCCTGTTGGCTGAGTCAACAAAATGTTATCAATTTATCCAAGACAAAAATAATCCTTTATGCCTTCCGTCTCAACGAACGATTTTAAACTGTGTATTATACATGAAGACATTACTTCCCACACACACATTATTGGCTTGAGTGTTGCATCTCCTGAGCTCCGTTTACTGGGCAGTGTACTAAATAGAACACTAAATAATTCACCTCGTTGTTGGGTTAAACTGGCTGGGGGTAAAGTTCCCCCAGCCGCTTTATTTTAACTTTCGAAATATAATACACAAGATATGTATCTACATTAAAATGTTCTGAAACCGTTTTGCCCAGTAAAGGTGAAGGCAAGATTACGCCATAACATAAAAAGCTAGAATTAAAACTACAATACATATATTATACTATGGATGCAGACATGGGGAGGAGGTGGGTTATC